TTTGAAATTTGAAAGTTGAATTTGAAATTTGAAATTTGAAATTTGAAGTTTGAAATTTGAAGTTTGAAATTGAAATTTGAATTTTGAAAACTTAAGCATTATTTATTAGCTAAAAATGTTATTGAAAAAAAATCAAATAAACTAAAAATGTTATTCAATAACATATAATTTCAATACAAATAAATAAGTATATAAAAAATAAAAAATCCCCCGTCCCGTCCCGTCCCCCCAAAACCCGTCCCATCCCATATATATAGTGGGACGGGATGGGACTTATTTTTGTCCCCCCAATCCCGGTCCCGGCAAAATCCCGCCATCCCCGTCCCCTTGCCAGCCCTAATCAAACATGAAAAAAATGGTGTTTTCTTTCATACCAAACACACCCATGGTCTTGACCCATTATATATCATTACCTGACCCGTTTTGAGCCAAGCAAATTTAGATTGGGTTAGATGTTGACCCATCACGACCCAACCCATCCAATTACCACACCTAGATGAAAGGAGCTGATCCTTTCACGTCCAAACAGAAAACATCATGCTAAATAAGAAAATGCAAAACATCAAGGAGCAAATTAGCACAACAGACGCAGTACATACAACAACATGCTCTACAGTCTTGGATAGCTTGACGCTTGCTGTCTACTAGCATAGTAACCATTTTCCAGCATATCTTTTACATGCAAATATAAATGCTCCATTCCAACTATTACACATACTGTTTAACTTATATAATGGCAGCCTACTATTGCGCTAAAATAACTCAGCCTTTCGACTTAGGGGTACACTTGCCCACATGGTCCTTGAAATGTTGCATCTCAGCCAAAACTTCATCCTTCGGCCGGTACAACATATCAATCATACGCCATATCTGTACAATCCAATCTAATGATTAGAGCCAAATTATATCATACTCAAAAATGGCAGCAACAGAAATGATTATGAACCTGTAATGTGCCGCCTCCACCAGAGGTCTCCGCATCATCAGATACACTAACAATAGTCCATGGATCACAAGCATTCCAGTGAAAGTCCACAATTTTATCCCTGGGTCAAACTCAAAAAATTCAGTTGCCAATATAGAGTAGTATGCTGTTAGTACTCATTGCTTCGTTTGTCCCATGACCCAAAACTAAGTGCCATCAAACTTTAGAAATTTATCACTATCCCCCTACCTCCTTAGAAGAAAGAGAATACAAAACAAAAATAAATAGATTAGGTAGATTGATTTATAGTCTCTGTTTTGTTTCAAGTCCAATAGGGAAAAAGAAACAAAGCCAAGAAGCAGCAACCCAGCATAAAGGGGTTCTAACCTGTGGCCAGCATGCTGGAAAAACAAGCCTGGTGGAGACTCCTCTTCATCTTCATCAGACTCGATATCAGAATCTTTTGCTGCACCAACCTGTCAAGAAAATCAACTAAAACTATAAGGAGAATTACTTGCTTATAAATAAATGAATATAGAACACATCTCAATTCATCATTCGGCTGCTGCTTTATTTGAATGTGCACCAGATACCCACTACTAATAAATACATAATAACTCATACTACCAACATCTGAGCCCTACCGGTCAACAAGGAATTTTTCAAACTTGGAACATTTTAGACTAAAGAATTATTGCCTTTATACGATAAAGTATCAAAGGCCCAACAAGCTAATAAATTTGACAAGTGATCACCCCTGTGTAAGTATATTTATAACATATCATGAGCAGATTTCATTTTGCTTCTTTTTCTGTGAAGGTATTAGTTGGAATTAAAGAATCCATCTAACATTTTAAAATGTGTACCCACTCTCCCCTCCCTTTTGCATTGCAGAATGTACAGTTATCATGTATCTTTTGCAGACAAACACTTCGCTATCCAAAGACTAGCATTGTTACAGAAGATGAAGATCACACAGCAGCATTTACAAATAAAAAAGCTTCTTTAAGAAGCTGGACTCCAGAAGAATTGTAATAATTTGAACTAGAGGAATAAGACACAAGAGAGAAGGGATAAAGGGAGAAAGAGACAAGTCTGAGGAAGTGCCAAGGACAGGAGTATCTATACCTTCTCATAGTCCCAAATATTTAAGAGACCATCCTCAGCACAGCTCCCAAACACAGAAGACCTATCCGGACACCACTGTAAATGAAAAGTCATCAGTTTAACAGCAATCTAATGCAGAGATATCAATAAACACAATTTCACTGATTAACAGAACACAGCAAATGAAATACCTGAACACAGAGAACTGCAGCTGTGTGATGTTCAAACATATGTACTGGTGATCCAACCCCATCCGAAGTCAAATTTCGCCGGTCAAATAAGCGTACCGAATTATCAGCGGACCTGAGTGACACCAGGCTAGGTAAGAAATCTGTTACTAGATAAACTACATGGAAAAAAAAAAAGCCCAAGCAGTCATGCGCACCTACATGACCACTGATGAGTTATCATTATACGAATTCATGATTTAACATTCCAGTAATGGGAAATTGGTCATTTACAAGAAAAAGAAAAGACAGTTGCAGCAGCATGCCCCATTAACAGCCCCATACATAGACTACTCTTCCTTTTTTTTCCTTTTTTTTTGGGTATGCACAGTATCCTCTTAATTTATATAATTTTACTATATAACATCTTACCCAGTTATGATAAGATTGTCATTGTGAGGATTCCAGTCGACGCAATGAAGATCAGCATCATGCGCTTTCTCAACCTGTAAAAACAGCAAAGACCAGTATCCCATTAGGTTTTTTAGATATTACTTATGAAGGATTATCGACTGAAATTTGACGATCAAGAATATCTCGAAACAACTTGATAGAAACGGCTATATGATAGATGAGAACTATATTTGGGACAAGACACCATATTGGTGCTAGAATGAGACAACCGGTTACAGATAATGACGGCAACAACACATGAATATCTAGGAAAAGCTGACACAGTCATGCTCGAAAGGTAGATATATTGGTATGAAGATAATTGGACTATGTTAAATCATCATTTGACCATTAGAATTGCAATAAGCTAACATATGCTATCTGGGAAAAGCTAAATATGGCCATGCTCAAAAGGTAGAAATTTTGGTACAAAGATTGGCTTATGTTTTAACATATGTTCAAGAGATCATCATTCGACCATTAGAATTGCATTCAAGATATATCTTCAGAAACCTGAGATGAGTTGCACATTTAGCAGTTTTGGCTCATGATATCCTACCTACTTCTATATCATTAACAATCTTTCTCAAAGATGAAATTTGCCATTAAACAATCAAGAAAGTAATCACCAGACCTTTACAGCAGGATTGTTACCAACTCGGGCATCCCATAATATGAGGCATGAATCATCACCAACACTACAGAATTCCTGGGAACTTCATGAAGGTTAAAACAAAATGTCAGTTTCAGAAGACTGGTCAGATACTTCAAAACACATTAATCTCGCAGGTCCAATGCTTATTCACCCTCTCTGCTAAGGATATCACAGAAATCAGAAGCTGTATCAAGAACAAAATGTTGATAGCAGAATCGCAGCTTATCTTTGTTCTTGTCAGTGACTCCGGAATGTTCCACATAAACATCAGACAGTAAAACTTAAAGTTTGCATTGAACAGTTGCGCTTTGATGTTTAAGTTTCACTGTCTGATGTTTATGTGGAACATTCTGGAGTCACTGACAAGAACAAAGATAAGCTACAATTCTGCTATCAATGTAATATATAATCCAAAGGGGACCAAGGAGGATGTAGCAAGAACATGAAGACAAGCAATTGGGAAGCAACAGGTGGAGCTCAGGGAATAAGACGTTTTTTTAATATTTCTCTCCCTGGATGATAACTCAGTAGAAGTGGATGATTACCAAAGAAGAACCAAGGGAAATAAGAAGAATTTACCAGCAGAAACTCTAGTAACCTGAGCCTAATTTGTAAGCCTCACTCCACCCAGACAACCTCCCTCAGGATCCAGCAAAGAAATTAAGACATTCAAGTCGACATTACCTTGAAGGACAAAACTGAACATCTTCAACAGTATCCGCATGGCCATGGAAGATACCACGTGGTCCAATAGAAGGATTATCAGCAGACTTAATTATAGAGCCACCTGATCCAGCAGACTTGGGTGCATTTGCTGCCAATGTTGAAATGTGATCTTGAATGCTCCACAAGACAACAGTTTTGTCCTTTCCTGACAGAAAATGATCTCAAATGAGGAAATACCAGAAGTGGCTAAATCACTTACAACCCACTGAATTATGATATTAAGTTCCAGACAGCATCTTAGGAGATGCAACATCAGACCAGAAGTTCATAATATGATTCTCAATACTACTAGAACAAGTAGCTTTTATGAACCTTACATATCCAAAACTGTATCGGATCAGATGAAGTCTAATTTGGTACATAAGTTGGGCAACACAAGTACCTGATTCTAAAATATAACTAGATGAGAAAATATTTTTACAATTAGACATCTAAAAAATGAGAGAACTTTAAACCTCCAGAGAGGACAAAGGGTTCCATGGGGGACAGAGCCAGAGCAAATTCTGCATTGTCCTGATGTCCACTTAATACCTGCAAAGGCATTTAATGTTTGCTTAAAAAGGTTGGTATAGCTTAAGATGCCAAATCATATTACTGGTGACAGTTGACAGGCGCTGGGATCAATTAGTAGAGCACATTCCACAAGCAAAAAAGTTATAAAATCGACCAAAGAGGTACGATGAGTGATGAACATAATGAAGATAACCCAAAATATAGACCAATCAAAAAGATTTAAGAGAGCAAGTACACAGACCAGATCTGGACGCGAAGCAGCAGCACCATAGACAGCATGCTTGTTAGGCTGAGCTTCAATGTCCCAAATGAGAACCTAAATAGATGAATAATAAGTTTGTTACCAATTAAAAAATATTGATATGCCTAAAATAGAAAAATGTCACAGTAACTTAACAAAGACTTCCACAAAACACCTTACAAAAAGAGACCACTTACTTCAGGACCATCAGTATGGGTTGCCACTATGTTTTTGTTCTGCGGGAGTTCTCTGATTCTGTTAACCTGGAGAAGGATACCAAAAAATAGTTCAAATAGAATTCCTCAATGGAGAACCAAACTGCACAATTTTTATGCAAGAAAACAAATCTCAAGTAAGTTCAACAAGTGTTTTACTTCACAGAATGCCACAAGTAACAATGCTGATTCTAGGCAAAACAGAGCATGATATACATCTCTTTTTAGATTTTTATTTTTAAATTCAAACTTTGCTTCATTCAAGTAACTCCTCTAAATAAATCACAAAACTACAAACGCAGAATCTCAACTTTACTATGAAAATACAGAAAGATATAGCATTGAAAATTGACGTGAACTAAAACCTTACACCCAAAAGAGCTAATGCCCTCAATGAGGATACAATCAAGCAATAGAAATCCAGTAGGAAATTGGCAATGCAAAAAGCATGAAGACAAGGAGTGAAAACTATTTTCCTTTTAATCTGAATAGTAGTATCAAATATAAGGTTTTCACTCTTTCATATACTAGGGATAATTTTGCATTACTTGAGCCGAGAGTCTTTTGGAAAACAACTTCGCTACCTCCAGGATGTAGGAGTAAGGTCTGCGTACACTCTACCCTCCCCAGACTCCACTTGTGTTATTACACTAGATTTGTTGTTGTAGTATAGCAGGAGAAGCATAAGAAACAATAAGCACATAGCTGAAACAATTCAACACTCTCAAGCATCAAATATTATTTATTTATCTTCATTTTAATTTAGTGGTATAGACTATTTATTTTGTATTCACTGCACATTTGAGTTCCTTGTCAAAATGATTTATTTTTTAAAAAAACATCGTGGGAGATGGATATACACCATGTAACTAGATTTGAGTGTAATTACACAGATTAAGATTGTTTGTTTGGCCAAGTAATTACTTGGTCAGCATGAAATTGTATGTATTTGAGAGGGATCAATTACACTCTAATTCTCAAGGAGGTCTGGTAAATACATCGTGTAATTACCAGATGATTTTTCAAATATATATTATGTCTTCCATTTCAAATATGAGTGGAATACTTGTTAAAAACAATTTCAAACATTTTGGATTGTTTCTTTTGCCAAGTTTTACTTGATCAGCATAAATTGGATGATTTTTCAAATTCGTTTGGCCAAGTTATTACTTTGTTAGCATCAGTGTTGTAAAAAGCGCAGAAAAGCGCGCTTAAAGCGAGAAGCGAGGTGAGGCGAGGTCCCTGCGCTTTTATTTCGTGAAGCGAGGCGACATAGAAAAGGCGCTCGCTTCTACTGTAGAAGCGAGAAGCGCAAGAAGAGCAAAAGCGTAAAAAAGCGCGCTTAATTTGAAAAAACGCTAATTAGGGTTTCTTTTTTAAAAATTGTAAGGTTTTTTTTTTAAAAAAATTTCTGAAATCCTTATGCGACTTAATATACCTCTTTCGCGACTTCAAGTTTCTTTTTTGGATTGCTGCAAGACTAAGAAGCTGCGACTGCTCTTCTTCTTTTCTTCTTCTTCTCTGCTTCTGTAAGTTCTCTTCTTCTTCTCGTCTTCTCTTCTTCT